AAGTAGCAGATCATGCTTTTAATGTTTTGTTTTCTTAGCAAAAAAAGTAAACATAATCCATAGTTACTTAAGGAGGGAAAACACTGCAATAAGTAGTCATCATTGCTCCAAGACAATTTTATGGAGGAAACTACGTTATTGCAATTTATCTTGTTCTGAGTTTTTATATCTTTTTTTCCTCTTACAACATTTATTTAAAAGAAACACAAAGTTGATTCTTCTTGTGAATAATTAATGGCTGAATGATGATCTTTTCCAAATGACAGTAGTTTGAATTTATTCATAAAACTCTGGATTCTATCAAAAATCCTGTGAGATCTGTAAGGAGGATCTTAATCAACAGGTAGTTGAGCAGTGGCAGTTCCTGCAAACACCTGAGGGACCCTGAAATAGGTTCAATGTTCTTGGAACAATAGGACACCACATCCTACCCAGCCCTGGACCCTGTCATTACTTGGTTTAGAGAATTCTCAGTCTTAATGCTATATTTGCCCACATACTTTTTCAGTCTACCTAAACATCTTATTTCCTCCTGCTATTATCTACAGGAAGTTTCCAAATGTACCCATGGAATCATGCATGTCTGAGGCAAAGTTTTCACTGGTCAGCATCAAAATAAGGAAGGAAAAAGGAAAGGATGCCACAAGTAAGCTTTTTGTTAACCTAGTCCTATTCTGAAATTATTACCTTCCTCCTTTTATTTTCTTCCTTCTGTTTTGAAGTTAAATTATCCTTGCTTGTATAAAACAGTGATGCTAGTTATTTTTGTTTTGTTTTATATTGTTAATGTCCTTAATTCAGAAAATAGATGTTGCTCACCCCATATTTGTGTGTGCATGAGTGCATGTGTATTTAGGTTCAATGATCTATGAACCCCAAAACATTTGGGACCAATGATGTACTCATTTACTATTTCAGGAGATGGTGTATTACTTTGCTAGGGCTGCTATAACAAAATACCATAGACAGGGTGGTTCAAACAACAGAAATATTATCTTACAGCTCTGGAAATCTAAGATCAAGGTGTCGACAGGTTTAGTTTCTTCTCAGGCTTCTCTCCTTGGCTTGCAGATGGCCACCTTCTCACAGTGTCTTCACTGTCTTTACTCTGTGTTCAGATGCCCCTAATGTCTCTCTGTGTGTCTAAATTTCCTCTTCTTGAAAGGACACCAGTCACATTGGATTGGGGCCTACCCTACTGCCCCCATTTTAATATAATCACATTTTTAAGGACCCTCTCTACAAATACAGTCACATTCTTAGGTACTAGAGGGGTAGGATTTCAACAAATGAATTTGAGAGGAACACAATTCAGCCCATAACAGATGATATTCTGGTCTAGGAGAAAACATGGTACAGAGTAAATAATAGAAGGACCCAGCATCACAAAGATAACATGGATACGGGTTCTGCTCTTTCTTGGCCTTGGACTCCTGAGCAGGAACTAAGCTGTGTGAGCTTAAGCTTCTTTTTCCATATAGGTGAGATGATAGCTACGGGAGAAAACATGGTACAGAGTAAATAATAGAAGGACCCAGCATCACAAAGATAACATGGATATGGGTTCTGCTCTTTCTTGGCCTTGGACTCCTGAGCAGGAACTAAGCTGTGTGAGCTTAAGCTTCTTTTTCCATATAGGTGAGATGATAGCTACGTGAGAGAATTTTCAGAAGATTAAAACTCCTAACACAATGAATGATACACTGTGAATGCTCAGAGAATGTTTGTTCCCTGTTCTTCTGCTCCTCTTTTTTCCCCCTTACTCATCACTCAGAATTAAATGAAAAATTCTCAGCACATATAACAGAAATAAAACACTAGCAAATGTTCAAATTTAAAATGTTAAGTGAAGGAAGCATTGGCAGAGAGACTGGTATGAAACTGCAGTGTTGGGTAGGGTTAATTCATAAAGGCTGCCTCCGGGAAATTTGAATGGCACATACAGCACATTGAGAATTAAGGAGTCTTAGAATGGAAAGGATAATTAAAGAGCATCTAATCCTGGATTCTGCAAAGCATGGGACATGTCCCACTAGTCAAATGAGGGATGTTTTTATGTGGTACACAGGCATTAAACAACGTGTACTCACACAGTAGTAGTTATTCCCTTTCCAACTCTTTCAACCCTACTGATCACACCAAGAAGAAGGTCTCAGTTTGTGCTAGACTGTATTCAACTTTTCTCTAACACTTAATAAGAACCCATTTTAAGAAGATCAGGCTGCAGGCCATTGCTTCGGGAGGCAAGCATATCTAGATAATTTAAAATATTTTCTTATTTTTATTGTCTTTATTTTTCCTATTACCTTCTGTTTGGGTTTTATTCCATTTACATTGGTGATGTAAAGATTTTTAAGTAAATTTAAATTTTAAAAGGAAGTAAATTTAAAATATGAAGGTAATAATAATACAATTGGCACATGGTTATGGCAAGCAATCATTAGTGGTGGCCCAAGAATGAGTGAAATTTAGGAAATACTGGTTTACTCCATCCCTGTCACAAGGAAAAGGGTGAAGGAACTGAGGCTCAGAAAAAGGAAGGTACTCTTTTCCCAGGTCACATAAGCTACGTTAGAAATGAAGCTCAGTCCTCTTATGTCACTCACCATCTATCTAGCTCTGCATCAGACTACAAATTCTACAGTGTTACACTGAAGGTAATTGGATATAAGTTAACCAACAGACCTTGTGATCTGGGTTGTCAGGAAGGCTATGGTTTCAGAGGCTGGAGCATGTTACAAGGGAGGCTCACTTACATAAGTCAAAGGCTTGTGTAGAAAGCCTAAGCTGGAAGCCTGAGTTCCTCAATTCCTGAGGGCACCAAGAAAAGTCTTTGGGCCAGTCCCAAAGGTTGCAGTGGCAGAGATTCCTCTTGGAATCAAACATCGATGGCTTGAATCCCAGCTTCTCTACTTGGCAAGAAACTATTGCACATAACTCATCTGCACTCTCCACTCATCTGTAAAAATGTGTGGGAATGGTAATAGCTAACATTCACGGGGCACGCATCATCTGCCAAGCACCTCTGATGCATTATCTCACCTCACCCTCAAAATATCAATTTACCTTCTCCATAAGGTAGGTGAAGACGTTTGGATGCTGAATGCTTTTGCATTGCTCATCTGCATCTACGCAGCTAAACAAGTGATGGAACAGGACTCAAAGCCAAGCAGTTTCAGTCCAGACTCTAGCCTTAACCCCACCGCTGTACTCTGCACATTAAATGCAGACGAGGACTGTGAAGCCCCTAGGACAGTGCCTGGCACAGAAAAGTCAGGATGTGTCAGTGCAGCCCTTCCAGAGCCTTCTCCGGCTCCGGGGGATAGGGAGGGGCTTTCCTGCAACTGTAACTCCCAGGATGCCCCAGGCGGAGAAGCTGGCCAATCAGGAAGCGCGGCCTCACTGTCTCCAAGCGCTCGCCCCGGGAAGTGACCAGAACTTCGGAGACGGTTGGCCGGGTGGGTCTGACAGGCTCGGGCTTGTCCGGCAGGCCAGGGCTACTCGGTTTTAAGTGATCCTGCTCCGGTTTGGGAGGCAAGGACTGCTGACATTTCCAGGCTGCCTGGGGCTCCATCTTCAGCCACCAAGAGGCGGTTGGGGCACTGGCCTCCGGCCTCCCACTTGGCGGCCCCCAAGGGCCTGGGGCTCCTCTGCAGTGATGGTTGGGTCACGAAGTGGCGGTTGGTTGGGTGGGCCAGG